GTCTTAAAGAAAATTTACGTGCGTAATCAACCATTTTGTATGCATTCATGAGTTTCAGCATAACAACAGGTGGTATTTAGTGAAATCAAAAAATAAAAAGTATACAGTATGAGTACTATGAATTAATATATAAAATAGGTCAAGTTGGTCAATCACTCAACGACATTAAAAATTAAAATACTCAACAATGAATATTATATTGTGAACACCAATATATTTATGTACCATACATAAATAATTATTTTTAAATCATTAATAACTTTAGTACTTATGTATAATATATAATACATATTGTAAAAAACGGATTTTAAACACGTAAATGGTTTCTATACTATTTTATGAAAAAAAAATCAATTATTTGACCAAAAAATATAATAGATTATTTGAAATATTATGATATAATTATATAATATCATTATCGAATCGGTATTCATTTATAAAATTAATTGAATGCAAATTTAGTGCGAAGGAATCGTAAACATTGATTATTCTTATTTCATTACAGTAAACTATTTTATTAGTGCGGGCGAGTGTAAAGCAAACGGATAGGTAACAAGATTATAGATTATTTACATGGATTTGAAAACGTTTCCAGCGCGAGCTATCTCGAACTAGCTGCTGATACTGTTCAAAATGGTCCTTTTACGCGTGCAACAAAAAAAAAAATCTAGTGTTATGATTTTTCTTTCCAATTTGTTTACTGAGTTCAAGATTTTGGTTTCAAGGTTTTGGAAATATATACGTTTGATGTGAAAAAAAAATATACATATACCAAAACAAAACATTAACTGCCCGCGTAAAATAAACAACAATAATGCATATGAGCCGGTTTACGACCGGCGTGATAAACGAAAAACCACATAAAAGATCGCTTTGACGCAATAATAATGGACTATTTTTCACGTGAAAAGGATACACAATACCACGATCGTATATACATGATGTGTATAACATACTTTATTAATAAATAAATGTATATCGCACGTAAATCAATTGATACGCAATAGAAAGACGCGTACGACGGAAATAATAGCCGCACACGTATTTCGGGATCATTGGAAATTTCATCAACGTTTGTGGAACACCGCACGCGTAGGAATAGGTACGACGACTCGAGCATTGTTAGATGTCTGCGCGACCTTGGGCTGTATTTTTTACAGGTCAACACGTAGAAATCCAAACGAAACCAAACGCGACGATTTTTTAATCATTGCCCACGGTGTGGAAAACGGCGCCAGGACGGTGGAGGCGGTGAAATCGAATCGAGTCCCACAAATACTTTTGTGCTATCGGAGTCGAGTCCCTAAACTGAGACGACACCGATGTCGAAAATTCAAACTCACAGTTTATTTGTATATTTGTTTATCCGCTCCCGTAAAAATTGTTTGTTTTCCAATGTCCTTTTACATGGTTTTGTTGCTTTGCTTCGTAATTCTATGTTTGTGTCCGACTGAATTCCGAGAAGAATATCAACAAGAACGAAAATATGTGGATGTCCCGAGTGAAAAAATTAATTTAATATTGCGTGAAAACTTTTACAACTGTTAATGATCCGATTAGCGCTTGGTGTAAAGTCACTCCGAATTTTGGAGGGAAACTTTGCAATATCATCGTCAACGTAATTATTTAAAATGTAATCTGTAAAAGAGCCGGTAAAGCTGTAAAAGAGTGGCATAATTTGTCGGGGAGGTGAAAAATGGGGTATTTGCTAGTTCAGTGTTAACTCCAACTTAGTCAGCACACTTAAAAATTATAAAAAGTCTTCAATAATCCAAGTTTATCAACAAATATTAATTGTGGGTCACCTAACTTCCCGAAACTTTCCTAAATTCTCTCCATGGCTCCAAGCAACCACCCTAACATGAAAAATCATGATAATTTTTTTTCTGAATTAAATTAAAATTATGTTATTCTTATCTTAATCTTGAAGTTTTGTTGACGTGATTAAATAGAACTAGGTATAACCGCTATAGTTAATACATTTTTGTTCTCTTGATCAAAATCGAACAAATATAAATACTTTGAAAAATTGAGATTAGTGTTGTTAACGGTCTCATATACGAACACAATGATAATTCGATAGTATTGATTTTGGAAAAATACAAAAACAAAAAACAATGACGAATTGTAGCATGAGAAAATATATTTTTAGTAAATATTTATTGAATCTCCTCTAATATTATGTTGTTTGGGGTCCATTGTAAACTGTTTTCCGAAAACCTAATCATGAGCCAAATCGACACTCTGTGTACGTATATACCCATTGACTTGCAGTAAATTATGAATTATCATAAAAAAAAAAAATTCAACACTGCAACATAAAAAGACGATGGCTATAATCAAGTTATAAAAATATTAAAATATTAGATGGAATATTCCCCAAAAAACGTGGTATGAAAACCTATTCTTCAGGTACGATTACACGAACTCGAATATTCGTAATCTTATACATGACTCTTGATAAGATTTTTGATTACGGATTTTCGGTATCACGTGTGCAATGCAATAGGTATTGTTTTCATAGCAAAGAGATATGTTTTCGTTTATCGCATTGGACGAATTCGTTCGGAACTCGCGTTTCGTTTAACCATAAATATAAAAATAATTATCTGCGTTTAGAATTACTCTATTATCTATGCGTTTAACATAAATTTATGTTATCTATTCTGTGGAATCAAAAATATGTAATAAAAATAAGATTGCCGAATGACAAGTAAAAATCACACGATATTAATGTATATACATTCGTATGTACGTTGAATACTCGTAAGTACGACATGTTCTATGGCCCATATAGTGGATAAATCCTGACGGATTTCGAAATTAAAACATTCTGCTCAGTTTAATATTGCGTAACGGACAAATAGTTTAAAATAGTAAGCGTACAACTATGTTATATTCAAGTACGTATAACGGCTGATATCGTATTGATCAGTGACATTTGAAAATTTTAATTTTAATTTAAATTGTACCGCATAATTAAAATAATTGATACTTAAAGAACACTTTTTTTTCTTTGGAAAAGCTACATAAATATTATACACACAATCAGTATATTGTTTAAAATATTTAGTGAGGGGTTAGTTGTCGATGGAAAGAATTTTAAAGTGAACAAATGAAATGTACAAAGACAGCAAATATATTCTTTTTTTTAAGAGATATACAGGTTTGTAAAGTATTTGGTGTTCTTGGTGCTTGCAGCGTTTCCATTATTTTATAGATAGGCCTCTGAATAAATCCTCTTTTCATCTGGAGCAACGAAATCATTACCGTCAGATTGTCGATTGTCGATAAATCCTTATGGTGCTATATTGTTTATCAATATCGAAAGTCGCGAAGGTATTGTAGCATCTAAACTCATTGGTTAACTATCACATTTCAAAAATTTAATTAATGCTAAGAGCCTGTATCAATATTTTAACGTTTAAAAACAACCGGTCCAAAATGGCTGTTGGACATTACCAAGACCCGTAAAGTTCATGCATTTACATGGTTTTTTCGCTACATCGGAAAACATCTTAAATGTGAAACAAATCCATTTCATAACATTAATTATTAAAATCTAAAACTCAATAGAGCATGTCTTGTGCATATTTGGCATATAATTTACTTTTTTGAGTTATTAGCGCATATTATTTTTTGTAAATTGAGCAAAATAGTTTTTGTGGAAGTTAAGAAAAAAATATTTACAAAATCTTAGTATTTTTTAAGTATTTTTATTTTTGTATGATATTGAGTTTTATAAGTTAAAAGCAGTACCATGAAAACAATGTTATTGTGCACCGCTATCACCCTCCTCCATCTATTGATATTTGCATTACAATATTGTATTATATTTTCGTCGCAACGTGTATTTATCTATTATAATTTTAATAAAATGTAACTTTTAAAAATATGAATGGATAATTATTATTATTTTAAAAAAATGCTTATAGATCATAGTTTAATATTTTCAATGCATATGAATTGCATATAAATGCATATTTTATCAAATGTCAGTGCATTATTGCATGCTTATTTATGCGTTTTTAAAGGTATGAACTTACGAATTCTGAACATTACTATTAAGGCAGAGGACTTGTAGCATTTGCCTATTTGTTTTGCACAGTCACAGAAATAGCAGAGTACGAAACAAATACGTTTCATGCTTTCATAAAGCTAGTTTCGAAATTTAATTTTGCATATACATACATATTTTAAGTTTTTTTTATTTTCAGGGTATATTTTACACTTTTATACACCAATTTATACTTTTCGAGTTAAATTTAACTTATAATCAATTTTTTCCACACCACCGACGTTTTCATTTCAAACCATAAAAAGCCAAAATGTTTGGATAAAGATTTATATATTTTTAAATTCTTGTCGTATACTATGGTTTTTGAATGTCCGTGGACACATGTTTTTCATAGAAGCGATCGAGTATCACCGATAAGGCGAAAGTGCCAGAAGACGATATATAAAATTAACAAAAAGTAAATCAATTGAAATTAAATTATGGTTTCGATAAGAAGATCGAGAAAAATGTATTTTGCTTCTTTGGCAATGGTATAAAATATATTTATGTAATTGTTTTGAATTATCTTAAAAGCTATCTATCTTATTAATAATTTTAAATTAAATCGTTAAAAAAATTGTTAAGCGCTCGCATATTTAGTGTTTTTTAAGAGCTACAAGTCGTCTGCCCTAACAAAAATGTTGTAACAAGTAGTAATGTGTTGTTGATTAATTGCTTATGATGGGGCTAACATTTATATCTGCGTTAAGGCGAGTGAAGCGAGTAAAGTATTCTTGCAGCGAGTGGATTTCGTTTTGAAAACGTATTGACGACATCGTCGTCGTTCGACGAGCGCGGATCGAACAGCAGGCAGAATAATAATCGGGGGTGGGTAGAAAACCGTTTTACTGATATGATCGTATGGGGCCTTTTAACGTGATAATGCAAAACAAGAGTGTACGAAAACCGTTTGAACTTAAAAATCAAATATTCTTATGCTTACTAATGTGAAATGGTACGCGGAACGTTGGCGCGTCGATGTGCCTCTCAAGTGTCGGCGTGTAAGGCGTGCAGCATGTCCGGCAGGACCGGTACGCTCTGGGCTCGGACGGTTTGTGCGTTTTTCGTCCGACAACGAACGGTTTGGCGGGCGAGTGTGCACGGTGCACGCGAATCGGAGAAATTGACGGGATCCGTTTACCTACGCGATGACCTAGCCGAGCAATTTGTTTTTTTTTTCTCTCTTTCAAAATCGTCTTAGCCGCTTGGGGGGGTGGGGGACACGCACACGCATTAAATACGGCGTGTTCCGTGTCGATTTATCCGCCTCTCCATCCGTCGGCTCGCGGTAACGTTATAGCGTTATTACGTGAGTCGGACGTCGCAAATAATTCCATTCAATTTGGTTCAATCAGTTTGCGCGCGCGCGCGAGTGTAAAGTACAGCGACGCGCAAGGTCACCGTCTTGCGTTCGCGTATCTGTCGTAGTACCGCACCGCACGTGTGTTTGCATATTATTTTGTTTCGTTTTCGAACGCGTCGTTAATCATAACGAACGAACTGGGGGGGGGGGGGGCAGGCACACGTTGGAGCTAAAGTAAACATCGATTTTTCACCGAAAGAAAAAAAAAACGACCCACGCCTCGGACGAAAATCATTTTTTCTGCCCTCCTCAAAGTCTTCTAAAACGATGTGATCAATCAGCATTCGTGATTTAATTAGTAATTTAAACGCGTACGTCGCGATCAACGGTATCCGACGTTATCCGCCGTCGATTTTGCTTTATTCCACATGTACTGTTACCCAAGATTTACATAGTATACTGTCACAATGAACGATTTTTTATATTTTTATAATGAGAATATTACTGTTTTTCGCTATCGTGTGAAGATCGTGGTCGCGAAACTACGGATCAGTCGCTTCGAAGTTTGATCAGTAATTCGTTTTGTTTGTTTTCAACTTCATGCATATCTTCGTATGATATATTTACTTAAGTGCTTCGTCCGGTACGTTTGTGAATCTTGATAACGATGTAAAAGTTATTCGATCACATTTTCCTGTCTTCAAAATGAAAATTAATATTACTATTAATCATTTATAACAGAGATTGGTAACTCAAAGTTACTAGAAGGCTAATTTTTAGAAAATTAAAATCTAGCGGGCTAGAGTAAAGAAAGCAAAAAAAAAGCCAATCAAAATATGCATTTAATTTAGCATTTATATACACGAATATAATAAATTCAACACACACATGACAGCATGACACAAATGATACGAAGAAACTGATATATTTAAATAGTTCGGTATAAACAGCTATGGTTGAAAGCTATACGTATACATATTATAGTTATACGACACTAAAGAGATTAGACATTTAACGATGATTACCAGATCACAATTATTAAATCGATAGACGATAACTTTAAATTTTATGATTTAATTTGAAAATTTAGCTCGGTCCAGATAAAAAAAGGATCACGGGCCACCAATTGCTCACTCCTAACTTATAAGAACGGAACGGATTTAAAAATTAAGAAAAAATTCATAAAAAGATGATTTAATGCACTTGTAACATTCTTTTTTTTAAAAATACACTAAAAATATGTTCTTAAAATTATTTTAACAATTAAAAAATTTGTTTTGTTATCATATAAACTATTATCTTTATTATTAATTTGTATTCCTATCTTCTTTTTAACCTAAAATTTTTTTTCAAAATATTAATAGGTATACAAATTAGCTAAATACATTCGTCATAATTTTAATTTGTGTTAATATGAATTCAATAAATGTACATATGTATGAGTTTTAACTACATTTTTATTAAATGTTATTCATTTATTTAAAAAATTACATAAAAACATAAGAATGCACTAAAAATTTCAAAAAATCTTAAGTAAAAGTTACATTCTTCTATTCCTTGATGTATGAAATGAACTTTTTGCTTAGAAAGTAATGTTTTCGGATAGTGGCGTAATTGTGGAGGGGAAAGGGGGATAAGTGCTCCACCCCTGACAACTTTTTGAGAGATAGAGGTATAATTTTGTCCTCCCCATATAATCTAACAGTACAAATAGCACCTTTTATTAATGAACTCTTATGGGTGTTATTTAACAATATTGGTATCTAGTACCTGCTACCTACAGTTTATGCTAATCTAAACCACGAAATGAGTTAAAAGACTTATGTAAAATCAATCAATTAGATATACTGTATAAAATACATACAATAAAAATATGTTTTAACTGGTGAGAGGGAGGGGTGTCAGGGTTTTGTTAATAATAAATATATTATATTGCCCTTCCTAGATTTTTTCCCAGTTACGCCACTGTTTTCGGATATTCAGATAAAAGTATAATTTGCATTTAAATCCATTTCCTACTTATAAGTATACTGTCTTGTGTACAACATTTGTTTTTAATACAAACAATATTTAATATCGTTTATAAAAAAAAAAAAAAAACTTAATTGTTTTTTTGCATATTCATGGCAAAAACATAGAAAATGTTTTAAATTATATCAGATAATAAAATTTGTTCGAAATAATTTTATTTAATAGAAACAAAAATAAACATATATTTTCACACATTTTTCAACGACATTTTTTCACTATTCTGTTAATTTCTTCTACTTTACTTGTACTTTTGAAGCATAACTTTTATATTATAACGAAGAATCTTATGTTGTTGTCAGTTTTGAGATAATTATAAATTGAAATGCATGATGACATATCCCACTGATATTGGTCATTAATATGTCTATTATATGCATACGATGTATAATTTTAATTTAGCAATCATGCAGTTAAAGAGCCTTCAAGTTGCATGTATGATATATTTCCATTTAGTTTTAGTTTGTTGATGTAAATAGTTTAGGTACAATTTATTTATTCTCAAAACCATTTAGGATCATTTTCGTGTTTGAGGTACACTTATTTATTATTACTGCTGATAGCTGATATATTCTTCTATTATTTTTAAGTACTTTCTATTTTATTATATCTGATTAAAAATATAATATATACAATGTAATACATCATGCGAGACCAATGGATCAAAATATATTTTTTTTTTCGATGAACCGTGTACATATAATTTATAAATTATAATTTTCAATAGTATATAATGAATGCCATAAAAAAAATTGACACGAACACCCGATAAATAAGTATCACTACAATATAAATCAGAACTCTTTGATTGCAATTAAAATAATATGTTTAATTTTCATACAAAAAAATAATACAGTACACATTTGTACCTATTACACATGGATTAAAAAAAAAAAAAAAAAAACATAAGCAAAATAAGGGGCCAAGTTGAAGAGAAATGCAGCTTTCGTTTCACTGTTTTCATTTTAAAAAGGGCACTTATCATTAATTATACGACTCCTTGTAACAGTTGTAACCTCAATTTTTTAAATATTTATTCCAGCCTGATAAGCTCTGTTATGAACCCATTCATTTTTTTTACTATCTATGCCCAGTGTCCAGTAATTTATAAATATGATAAACATTCATTTATTAACCTAAAATATTATCATGTGCCTGCATGCAGGTGTAGTCATGAAATCAGTAAAATATTACTTAACATAAAAAAAACTACGCTATCAAAATAGTCTGCGATAATAGTCTCAAAATACATGATACATACGCATGACTAATATATTGTTCTAAATCTAAAATGAACCGTTTCATTTGCAGCTACCTCATAAGCATAAAATATTATCAAAAAAATCACGAATTTCAGGAAATCGCATGCAGTGAATTAAATAATAATTGGATGAATACGCAGTTTCTTCCCACGTGAAATAAGCGCGTGCCTTATAGTTGTTTTGTGTTACAGGGAAGGACAAATTAAACGTATTTAAGTTGCTGCTATTTCATTGTTATATGAATTGATTGCTCAAAAAGGTTTATATGGAACTCATCGCTCATCGCTGAACAAATATAATTTTGTGTTAACAGTTTAATAAGCGCAATAAAAAGTACATTACCGTATATAATTTAAAAATGTATTTAGAATATTAAGATACTCCATCGCAGATGAGTCTCTTGTTCTTCTGATATAAGCAGTGTATACCATCGGTTCTTTACCTTTGTGTAGTGGTGACCCAAGATACCAAATTTTTCCTGCGACCTTTTTATAAATAATATTCAATGGCAGAATAAAAAATAACTATTTGGTACTCTTAATTGAATAAAATTTTCTACTTGTATTAATTGTATTTATAACAAGTCATAATATTAATTACATTATATTTAAAAATAAACATTTTTTTTTTAATAATATTGTATTGTTTTTTAAATAATTTTTAATTTAATGACTTCCTTTGTCTTGATGTTGCTTTACCAATGAATCAATTTAGAGTTCTTCTATGGAGTTAGTAAATGAAATACGTATCGTGGGTTCGACATCAAGCTTGTTTCTTGATTTGGTTTTGATTGTAGTTAATGCCTTTACTACAACATGTAAAAATATTAGTTAATGACTTTTGCATACTCAAATTTAACTCATTTAATAACGAAAAAATATCTGATAGATACGCAACTTTTGTCAACCAAATTATATCTTGAAAATGGATGGATAACAGTGAATTTTTTTCTCTTAAAAATACTTCTATTTCAGTTCTTAATTCAAGAAATCTCGTTAAAATTTTTCTCCATGATAACCGACGTACATGAGGTTTCATTTATTATTTATAAGACTTAAAAATAAAAATATTATACTAACGTTTTAAATTTTTATCCAACCCATTTAAAATTATTGGCGATCCAAAATTGGGTCGCGACCCTATGGTTAAGAACCGCTGGTGTATACAGTTAAAAAAATCATGCTGCGTGTTTTCGCTTCGGTGACGTCACCAGCTTCACCATTCAAAAACGACCATCAAATCGCTTTCGATAATATTGGATGAGTGAAAACTACAATTTTTATACGTTAGAATGGCTAGGGTAAGATTAACGCAAATTTTAATCTCGGTATAATTATGGCTGGTTAAAATTAACTTTAAAATTAATAACATTAACTTGATTCACTTTCTAGACAATTTATACTCAACCCTTTGTGCATAGGTGTATTATATTTTAAAATAATCAATGCAACAAATAGTATTATACCTAATTACAAACAAGTTCATTATGTTTTTATAGTTGCGGAACACGATGTGATTTACGTAACGGAAAAATTATACGTAAACATATCTCACGTGAAAGAAAATTAAATCAAACTGCGATTAAGGTAAATAATTTTTCCTATAACGAATACCTACACATATATTTACTGTCAAATTTCCTTGCAACTATTATTCTGTGAAATGTATGCCTATTTAAAATCGTTTAA